GCTATTAGAAATACCACATGAGGATTTGCCTGCTGCCAGTAAGGTCTGACGAACATGTTACAAGTGCCCACCAGTAGTCTCCAGTGAGCGCTTACTCAACTCGTATGACAACGTACTTCGATACGCATTCAGAAGAGCTGGTTTCGACAGTTGGCTGGTGTCAATGCGCTCACAGCGTCGTCGTGGGCGTCCGCCAAAACGCATCAGCATGTCAGCACATACAAGTGCATGCTCTGTATCCACACATGTGTTCCAAATCGAGCGACAGTTCTGGATGCAGCCTCTCCAGCGGTAACTGATAGCAATGTGATCGATCTGCGTCCAAGGCTGGTTCGAGGCTGGTGGGCACCAAGTCACTCTCCGGCGGGTGCTGTGTCGGAAGTTAGTGCTCGCAAGAAATAAGCGGACATCTTCACACAAATGAAGTAACCGCTCACCGTTATCATTACGAGAGCCTACACCGTGCTGACCGCCCAGATGCATTTCATCAGTGGACAACTTTCCAACTTGTGCGTTCAGATCCCCATCCAGCACAACAGTGTCCGTGCTTCTTCTGTGGCGAAAGAGCTGGGTCAGTTTGCCGTGGAAGTCGTTCTTTACCGAATCATCGCTACAGTTTGTGAGCGCGTAGACAGCGATGATGAGTAGACAGCTATTAGTCCCGCGCGACTTCGAAGCTTTGAACGAGCAAGCCAATCGGACCACACACATCCGGCTACTGATTGGAATCCAATCAACCAGAGCAGTCTCAGCCCGGGGACTCAGGGCAATGCCAACACCAGCTTGGCCGGTGTTCGAAGCTGCATCGTCACCGGATAGGCGCAATGAGAAAATGCTGCTTGTGTCACCTGAAGGGGATCGCAGAGTGAGCACAGAGCTGGAGTCTTACAGGCGGGTCTCTGATAAGCAGCAGATATCGATCGAGAGGGTCTCCAATGTTCGGGCAAGTGCTGCCTGTTGACCGATCTGTAGTAATGTGCGTACATTGAGGTATGCCAATCTGAAGGATGATCGAGGGTTCCAAATGGAAGCCGATGAACTGGAATGGACCGCTTGGTTGGACATGGGCTTGTCGGCAGGAGAAAAGTGACACTCCGTGTTAGCATGTGAGTTGAAATTAGAAGATAAACGCCCAGCATAGCACGTTGGGGGAGGGCCAAGAATCGGGGGATTGAAATCTGGGGGATAAAAGTAAATTTTGAACGAAACGGTAAGAGTGAGAAAGCGTAAGAGTGGGAATACGAAGACGGGAAGGCTTGAGCAGTAGCATCCAAACCCCTATCCACCCTGCTCGATGCAGCAGATAGGGCACCGTTGATTATTCTCTGCGATAGCCAGGGCATCAAGAAATTGTTTGACGAATGGTTCATAGTATTGCGTGGGCAATATACTGTCAGTTTGCCCAGGCCTAGACAAGAGAAGGATTAGTATTCTCAACCAAAGCCTTTGCTTCAAAAACCTGACCACAAGGCAGCGGGTTTGGCGTTGGGCTACAAGGAGTCCGTTTTAAGGAATAAGATGGCACCCTCATTCCAACCCCCAACCTGGAGGCCCAGGAGGCTGAGTTTGTCTGGCCTCAAACCATTGACCAATCTGGTATGAGTGACTCTGAAGGTACAAAAGCACCACCCAGCATAGCTCAATGGATCGCTGCGGCACACAAACCGTCGCACCACGGTAATGTCCAGCCTCATTGCGGTGGCAGAACATCAGTCATTTGAACGGATGCTATGTTACTGTGCAATCACACTAACCTGGAGAATGATGAATACTACAGAGATAGAATAGGGACCTGATGGACCTAAAGGAAAGTCGCTATGATTAGTTGTTCGTAAGAATAATGATGATGTTCGAACACCTGGCTGACGGTAGAAGTGTTACTAACTTCGTTGAGCCACCTCAGCTAAAAACACAAGAATAGTTTAGAGACAGTTGAGAGGAGACTGATGCTGCGATGATTTTCACAGTTCGCCTTCTAGTGTTTACGCATATGGAGATAGGGCACCAGATTGTGTCGACCTCAGGTGCATGTGCGACCACTAGTGGGTCACTAATGTCATTCAGCAACGCAAGTGGAAGCTTGTCATGGCCATAAACTTTGTTCCGATTCAGAAACACCATCTGGTCTGGGATTCTAACCATGCTTGTGCTTGTTACCTCAACGTTCTAGGTCGGTTCCGGCGACTCACCTGGCAAATCTGATGCACGAGGGATGCTGAATTGCTCCTCAAATTGATTGCACAGCGCTCTATCCAGCGTTACTGAGACAACCGGTTGTCTTGTTCAGCTGTTGTTTTTGCACTTATCGGGGCCTTCGACCAGTGCGTCGGATGATTGGGCACAACACTGGTGCTTCTGAGTCGTCGGCCTCCATCTCACTAGCCGTCGCCACCCACAAACGCTCGTAGTTGATACTCACATCCCTTGTCAGCTAAGGTTTCAGGATGTTACCAATACTTTTGAACTGACAACTCGATTGGACGTTCATTATTTCTTCAATCAAATCTGGAGGTTTGCTTGGTAGACTTATTACTGAGTTCTACCGATCGTCGTCCGTTTAACGTTAAACCATTATTTCTTGGCTATCTTCCCTATTGTGTCACCTCAGGAAACAATCAGATGGAAGCATGGGTGCCTCATCTTTGTTTAATTCTCTAAACTAGTAGGGTCACCCGGGGTAAGATGGGTACTGTGGCCAAATGGGTATACGGGTAGATTAAAACCTGTATTGAATAATTTGTTGAAGTTAAACGAACATTTGTAGACTTTTATGGAAGTTGTGTGATTTTCGTAGCTACTTTGCACAATGTGACAATATTTTGCATCGCCACCACAATACAGTAAGCTCTGCCATCTTGTTTATGAATGCCGCGTGTCTACACTGCCTTGTAAAACTGCTCTTGGATTAACTGAATATTAACCTTAGGCTGGTATGCGCTACATAGTATCGATCAGTAGAAGTTTTTCTTTGAGTCTACAGACAAATCAGCTTGAATTTTAATATATATTAAAAATGAATACTGAATAGCTTAGATGGGGTAAAGTGGGTGTGTTTATATTTTGCAGAGCAACTTAATACAAGTTTATTGGATACAATTTGTTTGATGTTAATTGTGACTCATACTGTCTTAACAAATATACTCTAATGTGCGTTAATAGTAATAAACTGCAGTACATGAAAATTCCACCTATAAAGGGTTACCTCTGTATTACTCTTGGTCTATTGGTGGTCCTGCACGGCCATGCTCTGGCATCACAATATCAGGATGGATGGTGGACTCAATTTCTGAATCCTGGTTCGCTCATTTTCTTCAACTTATACCACATGTGGAGAAGCCATTTCTGCTTATTTGTGATAGATATGGCAGCCACCGCATTTACATTGCAGTAAAGTTGGACATGGAAAACACAAACAACAACATAATAATAATAGTAATAATAATGCGTTTGTCACCAGACACTAGTTATGCGCTTCAACCACTAGATTTTGGTGTGGTAGTCTGTTCTAAAGACGTGGTTTCGAGAAAGCAGAAAGTTTTTCCTTCCATGCTTGAGCACCTGTTTGACCGAGTGCTGCAGAAAAATGTTATCAGTGGATTTAGAGGCAGTGACGTCTATCCAGTTAATGAAGAAGACATTCAGCACAGAACTGTAGCTTGTGTGGATAATACTCAGGCTATTATTCCAGACACAGCAGCAGTGGAATCAGAAGGACAGAAATGTAGTTGATGATCCTCAACCAAGCACTTTTGAAACGCCCCAACCTGTTACGAATAATGTTGGACTATCACCATTTAAGGTTTTACAGCAAGCAGTAATAAAAACGATTTCACCGAGGTGCTGGCCCAGTAACTTGGAAGCCATGGGCAATGCTCGAAAAAAATGAAAGAGCGTTCAGGTAATGCCTGGAGAAGTCTTAACAACAGACTAGGTATCAGCTAGGTTTCTTAAAGAAGAAAAGGAAGAAAAGTTAATGAATCAAGGAAGACAACTTCAAAAAATGCCAGTTCCATCCTTAACTTCCCTACAAATATGGAGCAGACTGGGGAAAGTACACCAATGAGCAAAGATGCAATATCATGGTTTGGTACTGGGTTTCCGTTAAAAATGAAGATAAAAAGACCGTGCACAGGTTCTTGGGACTTGTTATTGAAATACCAGACGAAGGTTTGTACATGATGCAATTTTCGACAATATCATTTGTTGCGTCCTACTAGGTTTCAGCCGAAAACATCCTTAGAACGATGCCACACTGTGCTTGCAATCGCCGCGAACAACCTAAATTTGACTAGCCATGTGCTGTCATTGAAATGTTTATGCCACAGACACTATTAACAAAAACCTTAGTATCATACTTACATGCTTTCGCAGTACCTGTTTCCAGCAAATTATACTGAAATCACAAACTCTGTCAATATCAAGATTATGTACAAAATTTGTTAACGCCTGCTTTATTCCTTTCCTGTAAGTTGACGTTATTAATTAGTGGAAGCGGATATACCCGCTTTACCCCAGAGTATACCCATTTTCCCTTGGCATGGGGTAAAATAGGTATACTATAGGAGAAAATGGGTATGGGGCTTAACACAATATTTTAACGGCAAAAATAAATTCATTGACCTGGTTACGGGTGGTTATAATCATGTTGTAAAATTTATGACTTAAAATGGAATAACCAGTTCCATCAGAGCTATCACATGAAAAATGATGCCTACTTTATGCCCATTTTACCCCGGGTGACCCTATGTGTATTGAGCATACCAACACTTAAACTTACCGAACGCGAAAGTGCCTTAGCTTCGAAACATACAGGGACATTCTACATTTGCTGTGAACACGGAAGTTCTGTGAATTACTGTGCAAGGAATTCAACACCTGAAGGACGATTCGATACTGCAGACTTACTACCTTAGCTTTCGGCATTTAACGTGGTGATATCTTTCGTGTACTTGGCCGAAAACAAGTCGATTTACGCCATCTTCTCTCTCGTTCATGTTCAGATGTCGACCGAGTCGATGCTGTTAGCAGAACTGATTCCGTCGAGAAGTTTCCAAAACCTGACCAAAGTGGTGAGTACACATATCGTCGAGGTCATTGGTCTTCCAGATTCGGAATCCCAAGCCTCTTTTCCCTCCGAGGGTATGGATAACTCAGATAACACTGGGAGCAGGTCAGGTAGGAGTTACGTGGACACAGTGCTGCTCATCTAGTCCTTTCTATTTTATTTACAATGACAGTTTTGTGTTGTGAACTTTTTTTGGATTCACTCTTGCATTTATTTGGTTATCCATCAGGTTTTCTTTTCTTTTTACACTCACTGCTGTGTAATGTATTGGTTAGGATATCGGACCAGTGGCTAACCTTATCTTTACTCTATTACTTATGGCCCTTAATTAAAAATTTCTACCTGGATCAAGTCGTATCTCACCGGAATACAATTTCGGAATCTTGGTTACTCTCTCATAGCCTTCACAGTGGTCATCACTTTTTCCACCTTAGCACCTTGTCTGGTTCGCCATTGAGCTCGGTAGCTCATCTTTTTGCCGAACACCTTATCTTGTTTTGATGGTACATTGTTATTAATCGGGTGAAAACCAATAGTTTCCCTTCTTTTTCTGGCAGCGTTAACGCATTGAATGCAAGACTGATAGTTTAATTGAAAAGATCTGTAAAATCTTCGGTTATGAGCATTCATTACTTGTATTTTTAGTGGACGTCAACTCAGTGACATTCCTCAACGCATCATTGTTAGTGTGGCTTGTATTTTTCTGGGGAGAGTTCTCTAATCCATTTCGCCGGTGTATTTTGTGCTTTCCACGGTGCTATGTGGTTTGTCATTAATGCACTTAATGTTGTCACCTGGTTGACATGTTGCCCTTCGCTTGCAACTTCGCTGCTTTTGAGCCTTTCATATGTTCAGTGGGTTGCTGTTGCTACTATTTCCTTTTATTATTTGCATACTGTCTCTCTAACTAGTAAATGATTCCTAATAGATTCGACCAGTCAAGATTCGGCACGGAAGAACTCTTTTATCAGCCTAGTGAGCAAATTGCGTGAGAAGGGTAACTCGTCCTATTTTATACTGAACCATTTGATCACCACAGAATCTAACACAGTTCATTCCGAATCGGAAGCGAGTAATGAGAATTTGACAAAATCTGAGAGTAAGTTATTTGCGGTTACATGAAAATGCACTCATTCGCGACAGCTCAACAACTTTATGAAGAAGGATTACTCATGCTGGAACGGGCCGACAAGCATATCAGTATGCGTAAAATGTTAGTCACCTACTTCTTTGATTTTTGTGGGTCTTTTTCCTGGTAGATCAAAGCTGATGATCACTTTATGAAAATTGCTTGCAATGTTTTAACTAGCAGTATGAGTGTCGTTGATATTCTGTTCGTCGAAATAACCACTACTCTGACATGTATCTCTTCACTCATCTGGTTAACATTAAGAACTCAGCCTCTGGTGAAATAATGAACCTTTAACACTGTCTCTTATCAATGCCTAGCTTCTTTTTAGCCCACTAATTACAGGACAAGGGATTTGGCCAGTAAATCGCCTTATTCTTACAGGTATCTACCACTTCGTTCCCCTTGCACTGAGTCCTGATAGGATTCTTAATGTTTCCCAGGCAGGTGTTTGGTGCTTAATTCTGATCGGGAATGGCATGTATCAGCAAACAGACGCGCCTATCAGCACTTTTCTCAATCGAGCATGTTAAACTCTTCCACCGGAAACTTATTCTCCTTGGCGTTCAGGCGCTTCGAATAGGGTTTTTCAGTGTTAGCCTTCCAGTTTGTTCTTCCTTTACTTGCTTTCCATATTATTGCCATTTTTATGCCAGTTTGGATGGTGAGCCCGCTCCCCCTTAGTCAGACTTAAAAATGTGTGGTTTTCCTGTCATTCAGCAACCGCTTGTATTCATTGTAGCGATTGACTTCTGCCCATCGGCAACCTAGATTTTCACTCTTCTGCTGGCACATCGGCTTAGCACAAGTTTACATCACGTTGCCTTACACTCACTGAGCAATAGGATTCTGCGAATCGAACCAACTACCTCACCCAGTTGCTGACACCACTCACTAGTGCTGATCGTACGCTAGCGCTCATCCTCATGTTCCTCAGCACCACCGCTTCTCCGATGCATCCAACATCTGCACTACTTGCCGGTCAACTCTACTACGCATCTCACGAAACACTGATGGCAAACCTACTTTGAACTTCAGATACCAGTGAAGCGGTCTTCGCAACGTCTTGTTCGCTCCACTTAGGCGTTTTAGTAGATGGTCAACTTTCTGGTGTTGTTGTTTGTTTGCCTGCGTTAAAAGTCTTCATTGTGTACTTGACTACAACTTGCTCTGAACCCTTGAAGTGACATTTGAGCAGTTTACTACGGGTTAACCGGAAGCGTTGGTATGTGGCAGATGTGTGTGGCATCCAGAGAGCTGTTGCATATTTTACACATTGGCTGAAAGTGATAAATATCTCAGCTAATGTGCCGCAGTAAGAAAGATAATATATATGCAAAAAGCGAGAAACAAATCACTATAGAAAACATTATGAACACCAAAAAACGAGTAATACGATGCTTAATACCGCATTACGCATCGTGAATAAAGTCGTGCTTGGAGGGGAAGATAAGCCAAAGATGGAGGGACAAAGGAACTCATTGCAAACGCCATTGAGGTCAGCTCTTTGCCATATCAAGTGTATCCAACCGAACGTGTTCGTCGACCCGAGCCCGGCAGTCGGTAAGCACCAACCGCCGCCAAGTACGAAGTGAGAGTTTTACTTCCTCTGGACCATGTCATCGTTTGGCCTCTCATTTTTCTCTTCGATCCACACTCCGATCTCGCACACTGCGGAAGACCGTGTGCTGGCATGTGCAACACGTAGCCCAGCCATCGGAGCCTGGTGCGCAATATTACGGTGTTAGGCGGTTCGCTCGCTGCTCTTGCACCAAATACGAGACGTTGAACACGCTCATTGCTCACAGGGTGTTCCAACCAGACATGGGTCAAACGTAATGCGTTGTACACTATACCCTTCAAAGAGAGAGTGATGTCGCGCCAGTGCCACAACTGGCGGCAATTGGTAAAAACGCCTTCAGCTTTGGAGGTACGCTTCGTGACCTCATTTTCTATTCCACAGGTGCCAATGTAGCTGCCTAAATTCTTAAATTGATGCTCATTGAAAGTCAGTGCAGGGGTGGGTCCCTTTCAATCTTGGAGGATTTTGCATTTTGGGGTGCAGAGCAGAGCCCGAATCGGTTGACAACCACTACTAATCTGTCCAGTGCTGCTTGTTATGTTTGCGAGCTGTCACAGATGAGGGTAATATCGCTGGCACCCCTCAATTCAACAAGTCGATTACCTGGGAGAATCTCCACAACGTCGCGTCCAGTGAACGCAATTTCCGTGGCTTCCTCAGTAGCGAAATTAAAAGAAATCATCATCATCAACAGCAGTACATCAGCCATTTGAACTGATGCTTCGCTGCTATACAACCATGATGAAAATGGAATAATAATAATAATGAGAGGGAGAGAAGGGGGACTTACCTGAAAACCTTAATGCCATAAGCAAACATTCAGGGTCAAGGCGCCTACACCTTGTGTAGACAACATACCGTCACAAACAGCTGGCTATCGTGCAAAGATAAGGCTGCATCGGCGAGACAGCTTCCTTGCGGCTTTCACTGCCCCGCGTCATAATCAGCCATTACCCCGCAGATAACTCAGCACCAAACACACTTTAAACAGGCAATCCGATTAGGAGACGGCAGCAGACGCGCCACTGGTGTCGGTTGCGAGCCATGTTCTGTAAAGTCTCAAGCCAAGCACAAGGTGAGTCACGTGGACTCCAACCCGGAAGGCGAGACGGACCAACGGCATCCGGTTTAGTTGTCAGTGACTTCATTTCCCGCTGCCAAGTCAACTTCTGTCCACCTCGAGCCTTGCGCCATCCTACACCTGGTAGACTGAACAAGGCCCTCCTAGGTAAGCGGTGAGCAGGCATGCGTAGCACGTGCCCGAGCCAACGCAACTTATTCAGTGCTATCTGTTGTTCTAGGGTGCTAGCATGATTATCACCACCTAGTACTCGCCTACACACATCATCGTTGCGGACACGCTGGTGCCATCCGACACCAGCAATGCTTCGCAAACAACGATGATCAAAGACTTGAAGGCGCCTCAGATCTTCAGACCGAAGGGGCCAAGTCTCACTACCATAGAGCAGAACGGCCCTCACTGTGGTCTTGTATACACGGCCTTTCAGACGGAGAGAAACTCCTGTCGCCAAAGATGACGCAGGTTCAAGAAAGCAAGTCTGGTCTTTGAAATGCGTGAGCTCACGTCAGTTTCTATGCGCCCATCATTGCTGATGCAGCTGCCAAGATAAGTGAATTGATCAACCACCTCGAGTTCCTCGTTAGCAAGCGTCATGGGGTCATCAAGTGGCTGGTGGTCCTGCAGCAACACTTTGCATTTTGAAGGTGCGAAGTGCATACCAAATAATGGAACCACTCTGGATAGGCTATTCAAGGTTGACTGTGCCGCCCCAACATCTTCGAAAAGCAAGACGATATCGTCCGCATAATCTAGATCAACTAACCTTTCACCAGGCAGCACTTCAACGCCTACATCGTGAGATTCCGCAAGGGAACACTCCATGATAGAATCCACGACGAAATTGAACAAAAACGGGGAAATCGGACAACCCTGACGAACGCCACTTGTGGTCGGAAAGCTATCCGATAGGGCACCATAGACCCTGACGCGGCCTGTAGTGTTCGAGTATAGAGCACGAAGGATGTTCACATATTTCGTGGGAACACCTTTCCGCGCAAGTATGTCGAACAGAATCGATCGATCGACTGAATCGAACGCACTCTTGAAATCGAGGAACACAGCTATTGTCGGTCTGCGGTATGCGTGGCGCTGCTCTAGCACCTGCCGCAAAGTAAATATATGGTCTATACAGCCACGTCCTGGGCGAAAACCGGCCTGCTCTTCCCTAATCCGAGATTCCCGTTCCGCAGTGAGGCGACGAACGATAATCGAGGCCAGTAATTTTGTCACAACTGGCGTTAGGCTAATACCCCTGTGGTTCGCACACTCTGTGCGACTGCCCTTCTTGTATATTGCCACTATAATCGATTCGCTCCAATTAGCTGGCACACTCTCTTCGTTCCAGATACGTTCGAATAGGGAGGTCAGTGCTTCGCAGAGGACCTCACCTCCATCCTTAAATAGTGCAGGTGGGAGGGAATTCGGGCCAGCTGCACGAAAACGATTGAGGGCTGTGATCGCGTTTCGGACTTCGGCCTCCGACGGAGGCTCTAAACTAACCGTCCATGGCTCGTCCTGCATCACCTGAGTAGGAAGAGGTCCGGGAGCAGGGGGCCAGCTGAACTGATCTTGAAAGTGTTCAGCCCAACGAGCCATACGGCGCTCCTTATTGTGTATCAGCGCACCCGCGCTGTCCCTGATTGTCTCACTGACGCCTGGTTTTCTGGGACCAGTGGTGCGCATCTGCTGGAAGAGCTTGCGGTAATTGCCTACTGCTCCTGCCTCCTCCATTTCTTGAGCCCGACTGGTCCACCAGGCTTCCTTGTCAGCACGTAGGCTCCGCTTTAGTTCACGCCTAATAGCCCGTCTGGTCACATTGTGTTCAGAACCAGCCGGGAGGTGTCTTCTAGCTTCCAACAGGTTCACGGACCTCTCGGATATCCAGTGACTGGTGCGGTGACGACTGATAGTGCCACAAGCAGATGCTCCTGCGTCGTGCATAGCGGCCGAGATTCTATTCCACTGAAGTTCAGTGTCATTGGGACAAGACAGCGTGAGTTCGCTATGCAGTGCTTCTTGATAGGCTTGCCTGACAGAGGGATGGGACAATTTCTCCGTTGCCAATCGGGGGAGACGCTTTGTGCGCCTTCCGGTAAACTTCATGGAGAAACGACAGCGCACCAAGGCATGATCAGAGTCGACACAGGTACTCCAGTACGAGCGGCAATCCAGAATGGAACCGCGCCACCTGTAACTTATGGCTATGTGGTCAATTTGGGTCTATCGCTGGCCAGCTACAGGAGGACGCCAAGTGGCACTTCGGCGCCCACTGTGTCTAAGAGCAGTGCTAGTAAGAAACAACTGGTGCTCCGCACACAGTTGCAGCAGACGCTCGCCGTTGTCATTCCGTTCGGCGTTAAGTCCATACTTACCACCCAGCTGAGCTTCTGAAGAGCTCAGGTGCCCTACTTGTGCGTTCAG